TAAGTTGGGTACAGATATCTAGGTAATTATTCAATTCTGTCGATAGTGGGATTTGAACCCTAGACCTCTTGCATGGCGGTCCGACAACCTATCTACTACACTAGATCGCCAGACCCTAACAAACTATTTAAAATAGACAATAACTAAAGTTATACATATAGCTTGTTGTATACTCTTCATATAATTACAAACAGTAGGGATTATTAATATATATATTCTATATGCAATTCTAATAAAATTCTTTCAGCAATGCAAGCTACCTTAATAAAAAAAAAAAAAAAAAAAAAAAAAAAAATTTATTATAATAATAACTAATACAATAACAAATTGTAAATATATCTGTAAAAAAATTTAAAAAACCTATTCACATATTTGAGATATTCATTGTGTAGTATATATGATTAATTTAATTACTTCTAATCTAGTTAAATTAGAAAATATTAAAACCTTTATTAGTAAATATAATAAAATCATAAAATTTTTTAAAGAATCATATAGAGATAGTTTATATTTGCAACAAGGTTTAGACCAAATAAAATTAATTCTGATAGTCTTCATTTATAGTATAAAACATATTGTATATCTTTATTTTTTACTACTGATTCTATTTTTTGAGTTTATTCTGTATTTGATTAGATTTTAGCTAAATTTTCTAAAATTATTACTAATAAAGATATCTGTTCTTTATTAAATAATGATAAATTTTTTTCTACTTACTAACAAATTAGAAGTATTTAGGCTTTGATTAAAGAAATCATTCATACTCTCAAAGCTAATAATACCAATTTAGCTAATTGTTTTAATTATTTAATTAAACTAGTAGTTAAAATTAATCAAATTCTTCTAACAAATTTATTTAAAATTGTAGCTATTAATATATTTAATTAACAGTTTAAAGAATTTTAACACTCAGTTTACTTTTTATTATATTATATTCATTCAAATTATTATAGCTTTGTGCTAAAGAATAGTAGATTTAGAAAAGCAGTACTTATTACTACTTCTTTATAGAAAAGTCTAAAGTATATAGAACAAGAAGGTAGAGAGTTAATTACTTAGCTTCAACTTTTTGATACAAAATTACTATCATTCAATTTACCTTATACTGAAATAGACATACTAATTTTATAATAAGATTCTATTAAAACAAAATCTAATCACTTAGCAGAATTAGCATATCAGTTATTTTTTATTCTATCAATATAAGCAAGTTGTGAGTGAAATTTTTTCATATTAAAATAGATAATTAAGGATAGAAAAACAAGATTAGATGTTAATAAACTTGAAGATATATCAAAAATCTGATCATATTATATGGTTAATATTAAATCAGAATTAACAAATTATAAAAGAGAACTTATCAAAGCAAAGTTATATAAAATTGTTAATTTTTCAACTGTTGAAGAGGTATTTAAAAAAAATATCTATAAAAAATATAAATAAGATTAGATTTTAATTATTATACTTAAATTATAATTTTTTTGTTAATATTAAGGTAATAGCCTTGGAGAGTGATAATAATATTGTTAATTCTGATAAATTGTCCTATACTAAAATAGAGCAAAAAACTTTAGTAATTGATAATATAGTAGATTTAATACAAAATTATTTAGAAGAAAGTGAAAGAGATACTAATAATGACTACAATTTGCAAGTCAGAAATATGAGTTATTCACTGAAAGATTTGATAGCTTGATTTTTAGATAAACAACTAAATGATTAAAAGTTAATATGTATTGAAAAAATAAACTGTATAACCTGTTATTAAATTTTTGAAATCTGAAATATAAATTCTACTACTACTTACTGTATTACAAAGAGTTGATTATTAAAAAAAATATATCATATAAAATTATTATTTAGGTTGTGACATAAGATACAACATACAACTTTTGGCATATACTATTACAAGTTATAACTAGCTTGTATAATAGTATTACCATTATGATACTAAGTTATATCTGTAACTCTAAATATTAGAATTTTATTTTATTTATTAAAATAAACTTCTTTATTGTTAAATAATTAAAAAGTTATTTAATATTGTATATAAAAACAATAATAATAAACAAAAAATTTAGACAAAAACAGGATGATCCTTTTTTCTAAAAATTCAAAAAAGCAAAAAACAAAAATTTTATTGTAGATAATGAAGAAGATTCTTTTACAACACAACAGTTTTTACAGAAGTCAACTAGGCTTACTATTAGAAACTCCTTTATATATTTAATATACAAGCTAAAAGTGATATTATACAAGATAATTAGTAGGTAGAGCCTTTGTATAAAAAATTTTAGTAAAGAGATGAAAAAAAACTCTTTGTTAATGAAGTTGATAAAAGAAGACTTAAGAATAGGAGATAATAAACTATTTTGTCTACACACTCCTTTGGGCTCTAGAAAACAATATTCTACCACAAGCTTTTTCCTTCTAGTCTTCCATTTTTTTTTGATAAAAAGTGGAGAATCTAGGTTCCTCTCTACAAAAGATCAGCATTGTTTATTTCTTCTATTTTTAAAAATACTCTGTAGATGTGCAACTTTATGCAGTAAACAAAGTTACATACTTTGTTTGTTGTTTAGTCTATAATATGACCTTGATGCTATAGTCCTTAAATTTTCAAGATAGACTTTATATTAGAAAGAGAATTACTCAAGATAGGTTATAAGTTATACAACTTAAAATTTTTAAGCCTAACTCAGATTATAGGATACTTGGTTATCTTTTTTCTTTTTATGTTTTTTGTTCTATATTAGTTTTTTTTTCTGTAGCAGGTTTTTTTAGTATAGACTTCGTTATAGACTGTGATCACTTAGATCTATACAATTTTTTATCTTTTTATATCTTAAGACTAGGTATTAACTTCTCTTTACTTAGTTTCAACTAGGTTGAGAAGGATCTAGAATCTTGATATATAGTTGGGAATTGCTTTTGTTGACTGAATTCTAGATGTCTGTATATACAGACTAAGGTTTTTATAAGAAAATGGCTCTTGCAGCAGATCAAACTTGAGCATTCTTAAAGTAGCTGAGTTAGTTCAGAATAGTTTAGAAAGAACAAATTAGTATAGTTTTTTATATTAGATTGTTTTATAGCTTATTATAAACTTTCTCTCAATAAAATAATGAGCAAGATCACTCAAGATATAGAATAATAATAATAAATATAAACTTTTATTAATTAAAATTTTACTATTATGTAATATTAAAAGAATATTTATTAGGTTGCTAGACCGCTATGCAAGAGGTCTAGGGTTCAAATCCTACTGTATACAGAATTGAATAATTACCTAGACATCTGTATCTAACTTATGG